AAGGAAGAAAGACGCGAAGAGAAGGTCGGAGGAACGGAGACGAGTAGCCAGGCACGTGGTGGATGACAGGGTGGACCACGAGGTGGTGTCCTCGTCAGATTCTTGCGGCCAACAGGAGAATTTGGTGAACATCGCGAGGAGGAAGAATCTGGCTAAGCAACAGCAGCAAGATGTTGTTGGTGACATTTGCGAATTTACTGAGAAGGATAGCATTGCGGGTATGAGGGTTGCTTTAAGCTCTCGGATGGACTCGAAGAGAGTCAATGCAAGGCGAACGAAAAGACAAGGGAAATCGCATTCGCGGAATCCCTCGAGTAATATCGACGCGAGGATTCGACGTATAGAGGACGTGGATGACGAGAATGACGAAGGGATCATCGTCGAGGACACGGCGATGAACGTGAAAACGTTCGAGAAAGGTGAGATCGTAGTCTCCGAGGATGGGAAGTTGTTAACGTCTTCCACGTACGAGCCGTGCCTGCGAAATTGTCACGACGCTCCGATGACGATCAAAGCCCTTAACAAGAGTGAAACGGTGAAGCAGTCGACGGAGAGGAAAACGGAGGATGAACGGAAGAGGAGCAGCAGCATCGAGGACGAGGAAAGTGGTGGTAGCGTGATAGGTTCCTTGGACAGCATAGAAGAGCCTGACGTGTTAGAATGCTGGGAAGCTGAAATCATCGAGCCTCTGGTAACTCCAAAGAGAATGTTACAAAGTGAGGGAATACTATGCGACGGAGAGGCTGCGGAGGACGATACCATCGAAGTCGAACAGGTTAACGTCGACTATGTGCAGAAGTACTATCGATTGGCACGCGAGAGCGCTACTAGTATCGAGGAGATCAGTTTAAAGACAGATGCACCAACGTCGTCGAAATCAGTGCCAAATATGTCTGAACAGAAGGATGAGATCCCACCGCGGAAGAGGGAGCTCGCTGGAGACAAAACTAGCGTCCCTATCGACGAAGCTTTCGAAGTGTACGAAAGCTGTTACACCGGGAACTCTCCGTTTCTAGCGATCGATTCGAAAGTTTTCAAATCACGAACGTTGTACGGTCAGGAAGGCGAGACCCCAATACCATGCAAGGCGGTTTGTTGCCAGATTCAATGATTTTCCGAGTATTTTTATCGAGAGCCTCGTTACAAACGTACACCTCCACAGGGACGTTTTTTAAAGTACTGATGTCAAGGCCGTCCTTTTCTAAATATCATAAGCCTCTGACGTTGTACTCATTTGCTGATTTATATATAAACATATATATCTATCTTTATATATATACATATATATGTGTGTATGTATATCACGTACTCGTTCTGATGGAAAACGCGTGTGTCCATCTGTCTATCATTATGTTTTTCATTATTATTATTATTATTATTATTATTATTATTATTATTATTGTTGTTGTTGTT